AACAGTGAGAGGCCCGCGTACTGCAAAAAACAAAAAACCAGCATTTAATAAAGACAGCATTAACTATAAAATAAAGAACCCTAAGGAGTCCTGATTCCCATCCCCCCTTTTTAAAAAAATACCAGATTCCTCCAAAAAACATGTTTTGGTATCCCTGCCCCACCGGTGCTCTTAGCCCATGGCCAGTCAGCCAGGGGTGCTAATGACACGTATCACGTCCATCTGCTAAGGGGTGGAGGAAGCAAACTGCAGAGTCCATGGTTACCTACTGGCTGACGGTGGGCTCACTACAGAAGCACAGTGTTCCCACAGGAGCCAAGTGGCTGTTTCTTTTGGAGAGATCTCTGAAAGCAGCCGCAGGTGAAGGCGTGGAAGGCAGAGTCTTGGTGGAGTCAAGCTATTGTCCTCCCGGTGACCAGGGCTAGACGTGGGGCGCACTGTACCTATTAGTTAACTACTGCTGCACAACCCCCCACCCTGATCCCATGGCGTCCAGTGATGAGCACTGATTGCCATGCTCACAGGCTCGGGCCAGGTGGGGCCCCCGGGCATCAGGCTGCGGAAGGCTGGTGTGGGCTAATCAGGGCATGCTCTTTTTTTTTTTAACCTCTTTATGGGAGTATAATTGCTTTACAATGGTGTGTTAGTTTCAGGGCATGCTCTTCTTGTGTTGGCAGAAACACAAGTCTAGACTCGGAACTGGGACCCTGACCCCTCCCCCCACATTCCATTGGCCAGAGAAACCTACACAGCTGAGTCCAACATCAGTGGGTTGTGGAAATACTCTCCACCTCAAATGGGAGGAACTGCTGAGTCGTAAGGCAAAGTGTATGGATTCAGGGAGGAGGGAAGGATGGGGACGTTAACAGAATTGCCACTTGTTTTGGTACTTTATTGAATCCTGGTAGCAATGAAGTTGTGACTGATGGGGAAGGAAAGACTGGCTGCTGTCTCTTAGGATGGTACGGAAGTCCTTGTGGAAGTTTAGTTTGGAAACTAAGTTCTGTAATGACTGGGACGATGTATGCCAGGTTCACTCCCTGTGTTCAATAAATATTTGATTAAATGGTGAAAGAATATTATATGTATAGTATGTATCTGCGTGTTGATAGAAAGGGGGACAAAGTTGAATGTATCTACCTTACAGAAACGGGATAAAAAGTGTAATAACAAAAATACCAAATTTGAGGGTAACGACAGGGATTCTAGTCCTTACTCTGCCTGTCATTGGCTCTTCTGTAACCTTGCGTAAATCATTTCCCAATGGGACTCAATTTCATCTGTGAAATGGGGTGATCAGATTAGATGATCTCTAAGGATCTTCCAAAATCAGTTTCCTAAGATTCTGGGATATAGTCACTGCTTCAGTGACTGACAGGTCCCATTTTTATTGGCCAGATAGCCCCGCTCTGCCTGTGCACTCCCGGCCTCCCTCGAGGAGCCTTTTCAGAGGCACATGCTCAGTGCCTCTCACTGGTGTCGATATGAGTCAGAGCACTGAGGCGCACCATGAACACTCACAACCAGGCTGCTACAGCCCGACAGGGGATCATATAGCTGGGCTCAGGATTCCTGGCTGTGACAGGCCTTTCTCAGGGCCTGTGGATGTCACTACCTGTCTCCAAGCTTCCAGTGTTACAGATGACAGTCTGCTACTAGTTGGATTCCTTTCACTTTCCAAGTATTTTATTCCTCTAGATGTTTGTAAAATTTCCCATCTTTGAAGTTCAGTAATTTTGACAGCATGTGCCCAGGTGTATGCCTTTGTCCACAACACCTGCCTAGAACTCACTGGGCCCTTTGCCTCTGCAGACTCAAGTATTTTTTCAAACTGGGGAAAATTTCCTCAGTTATTTCTGTAAGTATTTCCTGTCCTCCCATTGTCTTTTCCTCTTTATATTCAGGAATCTGTTCTGTAAGCCTCTCATCTGCTCCCTCGTTATTTCCATTTCTTTGTCCCTTTGTTTTGAATTTTGGTATTTCTTCCACTTGATCTTCCTGCCCACAGATGTAGTTCTCAACATAATCATACCATCTTGAAATTTTTCCATCACATTTTCACATTCAAAATGAAAAATTTCATTTTAGTCCCCCCTCCCCCCAACACACATAAATTGTCATCTTGTTTTTGTTATTCTGAAGCAGGTCTGCTTCCGGTGGCAGTTCCCCTTCACCATAGAAGGCACCTATGCTTGCATTCATTCAGAAATATTTGCTGGGCCCATTCCAGGTGCAGAGATACTGCACTGAACACAAGGTGAAATCCCTGCTCTCTTGGAGCTAACACCTGTTACAGGTGGTTTTCTTTGCTTTCCTCTCCTGGTTGCTGGATTTCCTCAGGTATTTTCTTTCTTTTGCCCACCCCTGGCACGTAGCAGCAAACCCATGGTTGGTAGGAGGCCACAGACTGCATCTATGGGCCAGCACTGCACTGACCAAGATGGGCTGTCAGAAACCTCAGCTCCTCTCGCGGAAGAAACATCCAGTTGGCCCTCTGATGTGTATGCGCGTGCGCGCGCGCGCACACACACACACACACACACACACACACACACACAGTGTGCACGTGCCCTAGTCCTGAGCCTCCCCACTCTTGCTCCTTGTGTCCACCCACCTCAAAGGAGATGATACCCCGTATCTGTTCTCTTCTTTGGAGCTCCTGGCAAAGCCTGTGGCGGTGCTTCTGGGCCTTGCCTACGTGGGCCCAGCAGCACTGTGCTAGGAGAGCTGGCTGAGTGTTGCGTGTCCTCGGGCGGCTGCCCTCGCCCTCCGTTGCCCTCTTCCAGAGACCGCAGACAGTCCGCATCACCGTGAGTGAGCATGAGTTGGGTCTGAGGCCCCAGGCCTGTGTTGCTCACAAGCTGGTCATGAGCTGATCCCTTCACTTTTCAGGGTCTATACGTCTGTCGCTTTAAAGTAAGGAGAGCGGATCAGGTTTCTTAGGTTCCTGCGGCACTACAAGTTGACAGGCTTATGCTCTACTAAACACCCAGAGTACTGGAAGAGGCCGGCATTGATACTCTCCAGTCCCATTAGTCTTACAGATGCTGTTCTGGGCACCCTGCGAAGACTGTTCCCATTTTCTTCACTAGGGCCGGTGTTGTAAGCTCAGAGCCCCATGCTCTGTAAATATTTCTTGACTGAGAAAGGGCTAAACTATTAAATGCCTCTAAAATGCTTCTATGCTGAATAGTCCCGTCATAGGTCCTAGACAGCCAAGTTCTTGTCTCAATCAATTTGTGCTCCAAAGTTTTATGACTGCAGACTGTCTGCGCTGGGCTTAGTCTCAAGAAACATCAAAATAAGCTGAAGTACCTGTTGAAAAGCAGATTTCCAGGCCTCGCCTCAAATCTGCTGAAACAGTATCTCCGATGGTGGGGCCCAGGTGATTCTTTGATGCTCCTCTGATTTCCCTTCAAGTTACCCAGAAGGGGCCCTGAGTGAGCTTCAGTAACAGAAATGCTTATGGCAGGACTTTTCTCCTGTTCTCAGCAGGAGAAAGAGACCCCAAGACCATTTCATTGCAGAAGAAAAATGTGACTAACCAGGGTAGTGATGCTCTAAGTGTGGTCCCTGTACCAGCAGCATTAGCATTGCCTGAGAACTTGTCAGAAGTGCAAACTTTCACATTCTATCCTAGAACTACCCAGAGTCGACGCTGGAGCTGGGCCAACGTCTGATTTAACGAGACTCCAGGTGATTCTGACGCATGCTGAAGTGTGAGTCCATTAAGTGGGCACTTGAGACCTCAGCACATTACTGCAAAGGTCTCTCGGCCTTGAGGTCACCAAGACTTTTAACATATCCAAGAAATTCCCGTAAGTTCTTATTAGAAAATTTTCCACCTCTTCCTAACTTTCAGCTCCTCCAGAGTAGCCCCGAGGCCACACTTCTTCCATTTCCTTCCAGCCTTATTCCATGATAATTTGCCTTTCCCAGAGGGAACTTCTCTGGAGCTGCGGCACTGGGACCCGAAGCTCAACTAGACTTCAGAGCAGAAGCTGTGAAATGTAGACTCCAAGATAAGCACCCGACTTGACCTAACAGGCTTCTATCTGACTCACGAAAGCCGAAGAGTGGGGCAGTCAGAGATGGGAACAGCTGTCATCCTGAGGAAGTGGCAAGTGTCCTCTGACACCTGCCACTGCTTGTAGGCATGATCGAGATGAGAATGGCAGATCAGGAGTGTGCTGGTGGATCAGAACTGAGAGCCTTCAAACGCAACTGCCACCTGGCCCTGCTCTAGAACCCCAGGGCCTTGAATGTGCAGCCGGGCCATTTCAAACGGATCATCTGAGCCCACACCCTGCACTCCCCTCCCTCTAAGATGCTTCCCGAACAGACCAAAGAAATATAAAAATGGAGAAAATCTGTATCAGTATCGGAGCCCAGGGATCGTCCGGAAACTGAGAAGAATTTCTAGGAGAAAGTGCACTGGGGACCAGAGAGGGACGCTGCCTAACTGCCACACGTGTGAAGTGTCCAGCCTCACCATAGTGGAGACCCAAAAACTTCAGCTCTGTTGCTGGGCTCCTTTCTCTTCATTTCTAAACGTGAAGGCTGACATCCCTCTCTGTCAACGGCGTTTGGGACAATCATGTAGGATCCTCAAGCAAACCTCCAAATGAAACCTTAGACCTCTTGATGCTGCTGTCTTTTTAAATAAATGAAGGAGAAGCTGGTCCATTTGTAATAGAAATAAGGCAAAAGGAATCAGTGACTGGGGTTCAGCACAGGTTTAAACTGCTGCCCCGGGGAAGAACTGAGTCTCCATGTTGAAATGAAAGCCTGATACTGGCTTCAGGGGCTCAGCTACAGTCATCTTCTGTTTCCCACCGCGCCCCCTCCGGTGAGTGAGCAACGGCAGTGCTGGGAGCCAGCACCATGTGGACACCTGGACTATTACTTTTAAGCAGAAGAGGAGGAGAACAGCTAATATTTAAATATTATTAGGGTACCACATTAGACGCTGAATAAAGGACACAAGAAATGCTGTACTGGTTTTAGCCTCTTCATGACCTAAAATTTCTGTCTCAAGGCAACTCAAAGAATCAAAAAGTCTGATCTAGAGATGGGGGACTTCCTCAAAGGTGGCGGATTCTAACAGGACGGGGCTGGGATTGCCGAACCAACATCAGTCTCAATAAAAGCCTGAAAATGAGCTGATTATAGTGACAGTGCAGTGATTACAGCCACTGAATATTTCCTGTGTGCCGTGGTAACTCCAGAAGTCATTCACACAGGACCCGTGGAAGAATCCAAGCAGTATTAAAGGCTGTTTATTACTTCAAGCCAGTGGCATCTCAGGAGACCATGTATCTGCAAGGCCTTCACAAAAATGTACCCAAGACACTCAAACAGCAAGTCTACTCAAATAAGCTTCCCAAGCAGCTTTTCTGTACATCTCGGCTGCGTCCAGACGATTAGCTGATGTTGTTATGCCCCGGCCCACAATGATGATATCAGAACCTCGTTTGCCAATCACTTCTTGTGGGCTTTTGTATTGCTGGCCGAGATTATCACCTACAAAACCACAAAAGTTTAATTAATACAGGAAATCAGAAAACCTGTCATATGACTTTCCTGAAAAGTATCTAACCCACTTTAAATAAAAATATGCTCTTGTTCACCACGCCCCTTCTACAAAGCAAGTGAATAAAAGCAGGTGAAGGGACTCCTTGGATTGGCCAGAGACCTCCACAGTGGGGACAGATACTAACCAATTCCTTTTCAATGTCTAATTTTAGAGCATTTATACTTTAACAGCATGAAAAAACAAAGGAATAAATTTCCTATGTTGCCAAAAAAGGTTCAGTAGCAAATAAAATACAATAAAAATTGCCTCACAATTGAAGACGATTGTAATATACATCGTAGAAGCACTGTGACATGCTGTTGGAAAAGTCCTCGCAAGGCATCTAACCTGACCACATGTGTGAGCCAGCCTTTCCCCTCAGCCCCGCCAAGTGCTTAGATTACGTACAAACCCTAATTCTGTTTTTTGTTGTTGTTGTTGCGGTACATGGGCCTCTCACTGTTGTGGCCTCTCCCGTTGCGGAGCACAGGCTCCAGACGCGCAGGCTCAGCAGCCTTGGCTCACGGGCCCAGCCGCTCCACGGCATGTGGGATCTTCCCGGACCGGGGCACGAACCTGTGTCCCCTGCATCAGCAGGCGGACTCTCAACCACTGCACCACCAGGGAAACCCCCAAACCCTAATTCTTAATTCTGGCTCTTTTGTTCTTTTTTTAAAAAATTTTTTATTGAGGTGTAACTGACATGTAACATTAGTTTCAGGTGTACATCATGATTTGGATACATTATAAACTGATCATCACAATAACTCTAGTTAACATCCGTCACCTTACAGTCACAAAACTTTTTTTTCTTGTGATGAGAACTTTTAAGATCTACTCTTTAAGCAATTTTCAAATATGCTATATAGTTTTATTAACAAAGTTGGCATACTGTACATTACATCCTCGTGGACTTACTCTATAACTGGAAGTTTGTACCCTTTGACTCCCTTCACCCATTCCATCCACCCCTACCCCACAACTCTGGGAACATCCAATCTGTTTTCTGTTGATTTTAGGTTACACATATGTGCGATCATATAGCATTTGTCTTTCTCTGACTTATTTCACTTAGCGTAATACCCTCAAGGGCATCCATCCATACTGTCACAAAGGATAAGGTTTCATTTTTTTTTAAATAGCTGAGTAATATTCCATTGTATATATACACAACATCTTCTCTATCCACTCATCCATCAGTGGGCACTTAGGTCGTTTCCATATCTTGGCTATCGTAAATAATGCTGCAACGAACATGGGGGTGCAGAAGTATCTTCAACTTAGTGTTGTTTTCTTTGGATAAATACCCAGAAGTGAAATTGCTGGATCAGATGGCAGTTCTATTTTTAATTTTTTGAGGAAACTTTATACTATTTTCCATAGGAGCTGCACCAATTTACATTCTCACCAACAGTGCACAAGGGTTCCCTTTTCTCCACATCCTCGCCAACACTTGCTATTTCTTATCTTTTGATAGTGGGGATCCTTGTTTTGTTTGATCATACAGGAAAAGCTTTGATAATAGCCATTCTAACAGCTGTGAGGTGGTATCTCATTGTGGTTTTGTTTTGCACTTCCCTGATGATTAGCAATGTTGAGCATCTTCTCATGTGCTTGTTGGCCATTTGCACATATTCTTTGGAAAAATGTCTATTCAGATCCTTTGCCAATTTTTTAATGTGATTTTTTGTTGTCGTTGTTATTGAGCTGTATGAGTTCTTTATATTTGTATACTAACCCCTTATCAGACATGATTTGCAAATATCTTCTTTCATTCAGTAAGTTGCCTTTTTATTTTGTTGGTTTCCTTTGCTGTGTGGAAGCTTTTAAGTTTGATGAAGTCCCACTTGTTTATTTTTGCTTTTGTTGTTTTGGAATCAGATTTAAAAAAATCATTGCCAAGACCTATGTCAAGCAGATTACCACCTATGTTTTATTCTAGTAATTTTATGGTTTCAGATCTTACATTCACATCCTTAATCCATTTTGGATTAATTTTTGTGTACGGTGTAAGATAGTGGTCCAGTTTCATTCTTTTGCATGTGGCTAACCAGTTTTCCCAACACCATTTTATTGAAGAGACTGCCCTATCCCCATTGTATGTTCTTGGCTCTTTTGTCAAGAATTAACTGACCATATATGTGTGGGTTAATTTTGGAGCTATCTATTCTGTCCCATTGATCTATGTCTGTTTTTATGCAAATACTATACTGTTTTGACCACTATAGTTTTGTAATATAATTTGAAATCAGGGAGTGTGATGCCTCCAGTTTTGTTGTTCTTTCTCCAGACTGCTTTGGCTATTTGGCATCTTTTGTGATTCCAAAGAAATTTTAGGATTTTTTGTTCTATTTCTGTGAAAAGTGCCATTGGAATGTTAATAGGGATTGCACTGAATCTGTAGATTGCTTTGGGTAATTTGGACATATTTACAGTATTAATTCTTCCAGTATATGAGCATGAAATATCTTTCCATTTATCTTTGTCTTCAATTTTGTTCATAAATGTCTTTGTCTTATAGTTTTTAGTGTACATGTTTTTCAGCTCCTTGGTTAAATTTATTTGTAGGTATTTTGTTCTTTTTGTTGCAATTGTAAATGGGATTGTTTTCTTAATTTCTCTTTCTGATTGTTTGCTGGTGTATAAAAATGCAACAGATTTTTGACTCTGTGTCCTGTAACTTAACTGAATTTGTGTATTAGTTCTAACAGGTTTTTTAAGTCTGCAGGGTTTCCTATATATGATGTCATCTACAAATAGTGACAGTTTTGCTACTTCCTTTCCAATTTGGATGTTTTTTGTTTCTTTTTCTTGACTAACTGCTCTGGCTAGGCTCTCCAACTACTAACCTGAATAAAAGTGGCAAAAGTGGGCATTGTTGTTTTGTTTCTGATCTCAGAGGAAAAGCTTTCAGCTTTTTCAGTACGATGTTAGCTGTGGTCCTGATTAGGCTGAGGTAAGTTCTCTCTAAAGCCACTTTGTTTAGAGTCTTTATCATAAATGGATGTTGAATTTTGTCAAATGCTTTTCCTGCATCTATTGAGTCTCTCTTCCTCCTTCTGTTTTCTTCCATTGTGCTATGATGACTTTCTTTAGTGGTATGCTTAGATTCCTTTCTCTTCATCTTCTGTGTGTCTACTACAGGATTGTGCTTTGTGGTTACCATGTGGCTTACATATGACAACTTGTATCCATAACAGTCTAAGTTGATAACAACTTAAGTTTGATTGCATTCTAAAGCTCTACATATTAACTCCCTCCACGAGGTTTTATATTTTTTTTTTTTTGAGGTTTTATATTTTTGATGTCACATTTTACATCTTTTTATCTTGTATGTCCTTTAATTATTATAGTTATAATTATTTTTACTACTTTTGTCTCTTAACCTTTTAAGTGGTTGATCCACTACCTTTTTCAGTGAAGTTTATTGTTTCCTATGTTTTCTTGTTACTAATTAGCACCCTTTCTTTTCAGCTTAAAGAAGTCCTTTAACATTTCTTGTAAGGCTGGTTTAATGATGATTAACTCCTTTAGATTCACTAATCTGGAAAATTCTCTCCTTCAATTCTGAATAACTCTGCTGGGTAGAGTTCTTTGCTGCAAGTTTTTCCCCCTTCAGCACTGTATATTATCATGCCACTACTTTCTGGCCTGGAAAGTTTCTGCTGAAAAATCTGCTGATAGTCTCATGGAGGTTCCCTTGTACATAACAAGTTGTTTGTCTTTTGCTGCTTTTAAGATTCTCTCCTTGTATTTAGCTTTTGGTGTTTTAATTATAATGTGTCTTGATGAGGGTCTCTTTGGGTTCATCTCATTTGGAACACTCTGGGCTTTCTGCATCTGGATGTCTGTTTCCTTCCCTAGGGTAGGGAAGTTTTCACCCATTATTTTATCAAGTTTTATATTCCTTTCTCTCTCTTTTTCTGGGACTCCTATAATGAGAATGTCAGTCTACTAGATGTGTCCAATAAGTCCACTAAGCTGTCTTCACTTTTTTCATTCTTTTTTGGTTTTGCTGTCCTGATTGGGTAAGTTCCACTGCCTTCTCTTCAAGTTCCTTTCTTTGCTTCATCTAGTCTGAACCCCTCTAGTGTATTTTTCAGTTATGTTATTGTATTCCTCAGCTCTGTGACTAATACATATATTTTCCATCTCTGCTGAAGTTGAGTTCGGGAGCATCTTTATGACCATTACTTTGAGCTCTTTATTGGGTAAATTATTTATCTCCATTTCATTAAGGTCTTTTCCTCAGGCTTTTATCTTGTTCTTTCGTTTGGAACATATGCCTCTGTTTCTTCATTTTGCTTGACTCTGGGTTGGTTTCTATGCATTAGATGAAACAACTGTCTCAGCGGTCTTAAAGGAGTAGCCTCATGTATGAGATGAATCCTGTCATTCAGCCCTACCCTAGCTCCTGGTTGTTTCTCAAATCTTTTGATCGTCAAAGCAGCCTATTATATTTGTAATAGCTCTGAGTACTCGAGGGTATGCCAAGACCTATCAGTGTCCCAAAGGGGAGGGTCTCAGTCAGCTGCTAGATTCATTCTCTGATTGCCATGGCTAGGACTTGCAAAACTATGTTGAATAACAGTGGTGAGAGTAGAAACCCTTGTCTTGTTCCTGATCTTAGAGGAAATGCTTTCAGCTCTTCATCACTGTGGGTTTGTCATATATGGCCTCTATTATGTTGAGGTAGATTCCCTCTATGCCCAGGTTCCAGAGAGTCTTCATCATAAATGGGTGTTGAATTTTGTCAAAAGTTTTTTTCTGCATCTATTGAGATGATATGGTTTTTATTCTTCAATTTGTTGATGTGGTGTATCACACTGATTGATTTGTGGATACTGAAAAATCCTTGCATCCAATGGGATAAATCCCACTTAATCATGGTGTACGATCCTTTTAATGTATTGTTGGATTCGGTTTGCTAGTATTTTGTTGAGGATGT